AATAATCGGTCAAGTCTGAGTGCCATACTTTTGTATCTTTACTTTGGAGTTCTGATTCAAGTTCTGATTGAGGTTGTTCGTGAGATTGGAACACTAATCTGAGTAGTGTAGCTTGTGGGTGTTGACTATGAATAAAAGCTATTGTTTCTTCTTTATTTTACAGCCTTCTGTTGTTTATTTTTAGCTTCAATGAAGTTCAGTTTTATTACAGATTCTTGAGTTATAATTTCAGTTCCTTGTTTCTGAATTTAGCATATATATTTTTAGTTTTTTGGGCTAATAAGTTTTAACTCCTCCCAACACAGTGCGTTTCTTATAACACGCGCTTTTCTTCAATCAAGTTCTCGTTCAAACTACCACTATCTGTATAGTGTTGAAAGCTCTGATATTTTGATTCCCAATCGCCCAAGTCATCACAAGCAGAATAATCCTCCTTCATAATCAACATATTGTGAAGTATTGAACAATAACCAATGTAGGCCACTGCATCCTTATCTTCCTGAAAGGGTTTGGTAAAAACCACCGTCTATTGCCAGTGGATGCATTCTCATTATATAGGAATAATACAACAGATAATAAGGCAAGAATATATTCAATACAAGGTAGTATATACAATGTAATCTAGTTGCTATAATTAGAAGATTTATTTGAGAATCTTGGGGAGTCTTCCATAACCGTATTACGCCCCCGCAAGCCTAGCGTATCAAAAGCACGGACGCGTAGCTTGGAACGTAGGAAGATGAAGGCAGGTCTACCGAGGCTTTTGGTGAACATGTCTGCAAGTTGTAATTGAGTGGGGACATATTGAACCTGAAGTGTGCCAGAGGCCACTAGTTCCCGCACAAAGTGATAATCCAAATCAATGTGCTTAGAGCGCTTGTGAGAAATCGGATTAACAGCAAGAAATATGGAGCTTTGATTATCACAAAGTATAACCGGAGGTGGCGAATGTGAGACACAGAGATCATGAAGAAGATGCTGTAGCCATTTAACCTCAGAGGCAGTGAGTGCTAGAGCACAATATTCAGACTCACAGCTCGAGCGGGAAACTGTCGGTTGTTTCTTAGAGCTCTAGGAGACGAGATTGTCACCAAGATAGATTGCATAACCAGAAATCGAGTGACGGGTGTCTGGGTAGCCCGCCCAATCAGCGTCAGAATACGCAATGAAGTCTGGAGAGGAAGACGAGGTGAAGGATGAACCAAAATGAAGAGTTCCCTTGACATAGCGTAGTAGCCGTTTCACCGCCAGAAAATGAGAGATAGAGGGCTTGTGCATGAACTGACCGACTGTACTAATGGTGTGAGTGATGTCCGGTCGAGTGATAGTGAGATATTGGAGTACTCCCACAAGGGACCGATAGAGGTGAGGATCATCAAAGTCAGGGCCTGTGGAGGAAAGATGTTGAGCAACCACCATGGGAGTACATATCGGCTTGGAGTCAACTAAATTGGTACGCTGCAAAATATCAAGAGCATATTTGGCCTGGCTAAGAAACAGGCCAGAAGACGTGCGGTGAGCTTCTAAACCCAGAAAGTAATTCAGAGAGCCAAGGTCGTTAGTAGAAAATTCGCTAGTCAACCGACGAATGAAGCCATCAAGGAGTGTCATGTTGTTGTCAGTGACGACAATGTCATCAACATAGAGTAACAAGTAAATTAAGTCAGCGCCTTTGGAGAGAACAAATAATGAGGAATCAGCTTGACCGCAAACGAAACCAATGGCCAAGAGAAAGGAGTTGAAGCGATGAAACCAAGCTCTGGGGGCCTGTTTGAGACCATAGAAGGCCCGACGAAGGTGACAAACATGTGTGGGATGTGAAGAATCAACATAACCAGGCGGCTTATCCATATAAACTTCTTCCTATAGGAACCCATTAAGGAACGCATTTTTAACATCAAGCTGCCGAAGAGGCCAATTACGGGAGACGGACAAAGATAAAACAACTCGGACAGTGGAAGCTTTGACAGCAGGACTGAATGTGTCGGTGAAATCAAGACCTGGTTGTTGAGTGTAGCCCTTCGCAACCAAGTGGGCCTTAAGACGATCAACGGTACCATCAGATAGGTATTTGACACGAAAGACCCATTTAGAGCCAACAACATTGGCGTTGGGCAGTTTCGGTACCAAGTCCCATGTATGATTTTTGTGAAGGGCCTGAATTTCCTCATCCATAGCTGCAATCCAACCAGAGTGTTTGGCAGCAGACTTGAAGCCTTTAGGTTCACGCATAGTGAGAAGAGACTCAAGGAGGCCAGAGTTGGGTACCATGCACACATGAGAGTGGTGGATGGGTTTGAAAATACCGAATTTGGAGCGAGTTTGCATTGGATGGGTGCCAAGTTGAGAGGGCTGGCCCGAACATACCTCAGTGGTAGGAGAGGGACTGATTGGCAATGGCTCAAGGGGCATGAGGAGAACCAGGTACGGTGGGGATAATAGGGTTATCA